TGGCCCAGGCGGTACTCCCGTCTGCTCCTCGCCCTCTTGGTGTCCGCGCTGGTATGGGTAGCCTTCGTTGCACCTTCCCTCTCACCTTCCCTATCCTCTGCCTCCTTCCATTCCTCTTCCTCCACCTCTTCCTCCGATGACGACACGTCAAGACTGTCTCCTGCCAACCTCGCAAGACTCCCACCATCCGAGCGATACCGCGCTGAGCTCTCAGCGTACCCGCCATATCCGGCCGCGCTCCAATCCGCTCCGGACGACTGGCCGAGAGAGCACGACAAGCCCAAGCCCCCCTTGTTCGGCGCTTGGGTCGAATGGGAAAAGGGGATGCCTCAGCATCGTCTTTCCATCCCTTCCGCATCGTCTTCCTCTCAGGAAGATGATCCTTCGTCGCCCTTGTCAGAGAAGGACAGTGGCACTCGAGACCCCGAAGACCAAGACCAAGACGACACGGATAATGGAAGTCAACCTAAATACCTATTCATAGCGAACCACCAGCGCGGTGCCGGCTGGGGTAACTACCTCCAAGAAATGGTGCTCAATGCGCATCTGGCATATGTTTCTGGACGGGGGTGAGTTGACGTTGGCTTTTTCGTATTCTTCTTCGTTTCGCTGCTTCTTGATTGCTGCCAAGTGTTTTGGCATTACTTTGTCTCATGAGAAATTGAGAATCGAGGCAAGGAGGGGCTGGTCAGTAGAATCAGTGTGCATTCGTGTACAGACAAACGAAGGACGGGTGTCGACGAGTGGGCGTTTGGCTTGAGCTGGACTGTCGCCTTCTCGTTGGGTGTTAACTTCTCATTGTCTGTTGTCCTCGGGTCAAGTGTCAGCATCTAAACGGCTTTCGAGCATTTCCTTCTTTCAAGTTATATCCTCCCCCCTCAACATATCCTAACCTCTCCTCTTTCACACACAGATACGTATTCGACAACTACACCTGGGAGCGCGACGGCCCCGAATACTCCACGTTCAAAGACAAGCTCATACCCGCGCGGATTCCATTGAGCGTTTTAGTCGGTGGTACGTTGCGTCCTTCCATGTAAGTAATGATAATACAACTAAATCATGTCGTTTTTGCGTTCTATTCTACAGGCCCAATCGTAGGCTACCCACACCTCTCCCCCTCCCCTCCACCACGCTCCATCTCCCGCACGCACTTCCACGCAATCTGCCCACCAGAGGAGAGGTTCATCATCGATTCCGGATCCGTGCAGCGTTCCGTGGTCGATTATCTCGCACAGCACGGAGAGACAGGGGAACCAAGGGCGGTGGATATGATCGACGGGTGGGTGCGCAAACTGGGAGAGGAGGGCGTGAGAGAGAGGAGGTGTGTGGAAGTGGATAGAGATGGTGCGCAGATTTTTGATATTTGGTGAGAGCATTTCCCCCACCCCCCCACCTTTGCCTCTGAATACGTCAAAAAGAACACCAGTACTAACCCGCTACGTTCTCATGAACAGGATCCTCGGCTCCTCACGCGTGCACTCTGCCTACCACGCGCTCGCATCCTCCCCCGTCCTCCGGGAATTCGCATGGTCGCCCTTGGTTATGGAGATGTTCAGGAAGAACCGGGGGGTGTTCCTGCGCGAGAGCAACTCTACCTCTGATTCCGCGTTGGACGCAGCAGTCGTCCCTAAGAAGCAAGGCGTTGGCAGTGGCGGTGGACTCTTACGCGCGTTATTTTATCTCTTCTTCCCCGCCTCTCCTCCATCCCCTTCCTCTGTATCGGTATCAGGAATCAACACGGAAATCGAACAAGCACCCGCACCACCAAGACCAACACTCCCTTTCCCACCTCCACCTCCTCAGCGGTTCTCGTACAATTCATATAGGTATTCATACTCCGTGAGCGCCGTCCAGCAAGCGAAAAACCAGAACCAGACACGGCTGGCGCTGGATCGTGCATCAGAGGAGGACCTGAAGCGGGACGCCCGCGCTGCTGGTTCGCCTAACACCCAGGCAGCAACAGCTCTTGAACGAGCCAAGGCCACCAACACCGCAACCAACGAAGATCTTCATGAAGGGTCCACGCACCTCCCCTTGATCGCACTGCACATCCGCCGGGGCGACTTTGAAGGACACTGCACGCACCTCGCTGCGTGGGGGTCGACGTACACGGGGTTTAATACCCTGCCTGGGCTGCCTGATCGGTTTGAGTCGCCTATGAGGCCGTCTTCAGACGAAGGCGAGGGCGAGGGCGAGGGCGAGGGCGAGGGCGAGGGTTCGAAAGAGATGCAGCGCGCATACGACGCTGCGTACTCCCGGCACTGCTGGCCTACGACTGCGCAGATTGTGCGTAGAGTGAGGGAGGCGGTGAATGATTGGGCGGAGCTGCAAGCGAAGAAGGAAAGGGTGGGGTGGAGGGTTCATGAGAGGGGTTCTCTTGTTGGGTCGGCTGGATCTGGATCCTCGTCTTTGCCCTTAAGTAATGATGAAGAAGACTCGGAAGCACGATTGCCACTGAATGAACGACGGACGACGACGACGGCGGAGCAGGTCAGGCAGCGTTTGAGGAGGGTGTATATCATGACGAATGGGGACCCGGAGTGGGCGGAGGAGGTCAGGAGGGCGTTGGTGGAGGATGCTGCGCGGTCAGCGAGGTGGAGGGCGAGGAGAGATGGTGGTGAAAGCGAGCTGGCAAACTCGACTTCGTCTTCTTCAGCGCCATCGTTGAAGCAGAATGAAGCACGAGCAGTCGATTGGAAGCGGGATCCTGCCTCCGACTGGAAACGCTCCCCCGCATCCTCCGAAGACGAAGAAAGCGAAGACTGGCATCTCGAATGGACCTGGGACTTTATCGCCTCAAGCCGCGACATCCAACTCGGGTGGGAGGAGAAGCCTGTCGGACAGGCGCTGGATATGTATATCGGCCAGAGGGCGGAGGTGTTCATTGGGAATGGGGTGCGTAATATTTATCATTTTTGAATGGATAAGGAAGATACTGAAGGCGGGTATGTAGTTCTCGAGCCTAACTGCGAACATCGTCCTCCTTCGTCTGGCGAGCGGGATGGATCCGAAGAATACGAGGTTTTGGTAGCCGCCCCTCAGTTTGTTGCATTCTTGCTTTTTGGTCGATACCCTTTCCGACTTGTACCACGAACTCCAATACCTCCATACCAAGACTGTACTCTACCGCCCCACCAAAGCCACCAAAACCATCGACACACTTGCAATCCACACACATACACATTTTTGCATGGACTCAATACGGACATCGTTTTCTTGCACTTTTGTTTCGCCTAGCGCATCGCATTCTTTTTCGTCGCTTGCATTACCCTCGTTACCACTCCTGTCTCACCTTCATTCTGTTCTTGCACACGCGCCCCTTTTGGTTTCTTGTCCGCGGCAGTCCCTCCCATACATCGACGATACGTATACTCCTCATCCACATCCATCGAACATATCATACTCTTCTTGAAGCATATCTTACTAGTCTTGACTCTTATAGAGCATCTTATAGCTTTATTATTCTCTACATCGTGGCTTGGAATATTATACGAAACCAATGGTTTCTTGACTGTTTAGATTTCCTTATTGAAGATAGAAAGTTGTTTGGCAAGGGTGTCTTTGGCTGAAGCGCGACGCGTCTTGGGGCAGGTGACACAGTTTCCCATCGTACTTAAGTGGTACAGACATTCAGCCATACAAAAAGATCAAGGTAATGTGTTCACCCGCACGGCATGTTTAAAATTAAATCACGATGCACAAAAGTTACATGCAGAAGGGTATCACGAGAACTCGGTGATCCTATAAATAGACCTCTGCTAGTTAACATGTACACGTCTAACCCTCGCTGTCGTCATTCCGCTCTTCCGCTCGCACAGTGTGTGTGTGGCGGGTCTACGAGCTTTGTTTCTTCCTCCCATCTCTATCTTCACCTAACTTTCAGTGCCCTCTTGAGTACCCTCACTGAGTGTATTCAACCTCTAAGTTTTTATCTCCAAGTTTTGCCGACCAACACCTGAGCCTGTTACATGTCTATCTAACCGCCGAAGAGATACGGAGAGAAATGGCTGATTCCCAGAAGCAGAATATCATTAACTCCATCTTCTCCAAGAAGAATAGTAAGAGTTCCGCACAACTGGGCGAGATCTATGTCTCGCACATCAAAGTTTGGGAAGATGACGATGGTGGAGGTAAAAAGCCTCGCTATCTTATTGTCTCCGGTATGCAAATTCTATTTAAATTTAGGTCGGATATCTCTCTAATATCTACCTATAGTGACGAACGACGGGTATGGCTTCATACGCAAGGCCAAACTGAATATCAATGGCTCATTTTCTGTGGGAAAGATTTGGAGGCTGGAGGAAATGTGTGGTGTTAAAATTGTTAATGTAAGTCGGGTATATGATTACTAGATATCTTCGTTATCACTAACTGATTACGGGTAGCCATTAGAATTCACTTTCACGATACGGAAGATATACCGATGGCAGAGTGAGAAAGAGGCTGATCAAGCCACATTTTTGAAGGCTTTGATCCGCCTATTCCGTACTATCACCAACCGTACTGCGGCATTAAAGTTGGAGGGGACTGAAACTTTAGGAATAGGTAGATGGATTTTGACGAGGTAGATTGGACTGGGATATTGTTTATTTAGCCGGATAAATTATTCACATGAGTATGTGGTTGGAATAATAAAGATATCAAGATTACTATGTGTATGGCAATTTCGAGTGTTTCCCAATCTTTCATTTCAACAGGAAAGGAGTGAAGCACAAGACTAATTTCCCACAGTGTGAATTGAAACCAGATTTCGAAAGCCTAGATAAGGTCTGACGCTTTATCTGATCGAGCTAGGTAGGCAGCGAAGAAGACTGCGAATGACCATCACAGCACCAAATGCTAAAAGCCCGGCGTGTAGACAGGAGGACAATATCACGCTGGCACTACATCAGAACAGAGCACACAACAAATCAAATGAGAACAAAAGTATAAGTATAACCCAAAATAAGCGAAAATGCTGTACGCCACCATTTTATCCAAAATATTATCGAGCGTAGTGACCACCGCAGGGGTCAAACCTGCAATCTCCTGATTCAGAATCTATGCACAAACAGTATCATCGTAGTCAGACGCGATGCCATTTCGCCAGGCGGCCATAAGTAATAGGCAAAAGGACGGAAATTCGGATGAAATCAACGATGGGAAATATATTGGCATCTTCTGAACCAAGAACTGTTGATAATCCAGTGCACGATCTGTATAGAGCACAGAAAAATTACTGATTCTAAAGAGCGAAGGTGTAGGAGGGGCGTAAACCTAACAGCGTCAGGCGTTCACGGTCGACCTTCATTGCGTAAACCTAGAGCATGGAATGAACACAATGAACAATCATTGATATTCACATGTTGCTTACACAGGACCAGAAATGCGGAGAGATAGTCTCCCATAGACAGACCCGAAAGAAGACAATCAGACCTCATAAAAACTCCGCTCTCTTTCAGCCTCTTGCCCCTACACGGAAGCACCAGGGTCCAGTAGGTGTGAGTGAGCCATGTTGCATATATTTCGAGCGATGATCGCATTTTGGGTTTGGGCAGTAGTGGCGTATTGGTGTATAAAATCATGGTTATTTTTGGATGAGCCGCGGGGACAATGAGTGCGGATAAGCTTCGTTATATGTTTGGAGCAGAGTAATCCATGAAGCGAACTTCGAATGTGAAGGTTAAGGAAGTTCCAGAGGACGTCGAGAGATGAACCAGAACAGAGGAATATCATAGAATTTGAATGGGATGGAAAAACTCGCGCGTTTGGTGGTAAAGGTGCGGAGTAACCATATTCCGAGTCAACTGCAGTGTCGCCAAGCATCATAAAGTCATTTCTCCGCCCGATCGATGGCTTCCTTGATTTACATTTGACGCGTTCTGCATCCAACTTCACGCGTGTCGGTTCCACTTGACGCGCCAGAGCGTTCACCTGACGCGATTACCCTGTCCATCCTCGCCATGATAGGCTGACAAATTGACATATAGAAGCAGATAGAGAGTAACATTTTAATACCCAGAACCTGAAGGAGAACACGAGGAAAGAGAAGTCAAGAAGACGACGTGGTCCTTGCACTCCGATGCCCCGCTGAAAGACCCCAGATTTACCCTTGTTTCACTCCGTTCTTTAGCCAGGATTCGACAGTAAAGTGCTCAAGGGCCTTGGACATGAAAACTGGATCTTAGAGACCTTGAAATAACCATAGTGAAAGTGAGTAAGAGTTAATGAGATTTTTGTCAAATTCTGGGAAACGCGCCATAGGTGGTCGTCTGAGATGATGATTATGGATGAGAGGAGGAACTTCGGTGCATCGCTGTAAACTTGAACCCAAGACGCGTTGCTTCCGTTTGCACATATTTAGTAGACGCATTGAAAACAAATAACGTTTCCGGATAAGGCTGACTCCCCCTTTATTGACCGCATCACCGGGCTCAATACCGGCCCCTTATCTTAACGCACTCGGATTTCGGGCTAGTTCTATATCCCCACCTCCAGACAGCTCTAGGGCTGAAAAAAGTTCTCATTATCACTCCAGCGCATCAAGTTTTCCGAAGCTTTGGGTCATTGGTGGGTATATCAACCTTCAACGAGGAGGCGTACGACGTGTGTTCAACATTGTGATCAGACTTTCCCCGCGACCACTCAGTAACGAATACCTCAGCTACACACGCATTCCAGGGTTGCGGGAAGCTATAATAATAGTTCGTTAGTTCGTTTCTATAAAACTATCTTCAGGTTACGTGTCTAATGAGAATTAACCAAGTACGCCCCCTTGAATTAGCCCAAAGCAATCCCAGTAGACCACATCTCAGTTAGGTTGAAGGCGTACGCAGACTATCAACTATAGAGAACCACATTACTAGTTCGTCTTTATATTGCTATCCTTCAATTTTACCATCTTTAATTAACTTCACTATAAAGGCTTACAGTAACCTTCAATATAAGCAGTCAAGGGCTGCCAAAGCTCGAATTCGCACTAGTGACTCTATCATTAACTCAATAATATTTTGGCTTTCAGGGGTCCACAGTATATCCAATTATATAGAAGAGAATTTCCTTCCATCGTCCACCAACAACATTATCCAAGTAATGTCCGACCCACTCACACTTCCGACGGAACTTCTCGATGACATCCTTACATATCTACCCCCCAACTCGGGTTCAAATCTACAAGCGTGTGCCCTGTCCTTCAGGGCATTTCTCCCACTCGCACAGAAGCGCCTCTTCAAGGCAATCCGGATATCCAGTGCTTTCACGTCTCTCTATGCCGCACGTGAAACGGCATGCGCGAAGCTCGCTAAAGTCTTAGAGGAAAGTTCACATCTGGCGGGATATGCTCAAAGCCTGGAAATTGCAGACCGCGCACCATTCTCGAGTGAAAACAACCTACCGCCCGACCCGTCACTCACACGACTCCTCGCTCTACTTCCTTCACTGACGCACCTCTCATACGAGGGCTCGTACCACCACCACCGACCATTTCCTTTTGTTTCAAATGCAGCCCATGTCGTCCTACCTTCGCTCACGCACCTCCGTCTCTCCCGTGTTCAATCCCTTCCTTTATGGTTCATCGACTGCTTTCCCAACCTACGGTCGTTATCTATGTGCTCAGTCACATTCGCCTATCCATTGACTGTGACACGCAACAACGTGAATTCCGTTCCGCATCTCGAAGAGCTCGCGGTGGACTGGATGTGTGGGATGGGCGAAGTCGCTCTATGTTTAGAGAATAGACTTCTACCTGGAATCGCGAAGCTCAGAAAGCTTAGCATACTAATTCCCAGTAACAACGAGACAGAGCTTGGTCACGTATACGGCATATTTCAACTTGCGAGCGACAGTGGGGGCTTGGAGGAGCTACAGTTGAGGGCTTACTACGATGGTGCGTACCGTCTGCCTCGAATCCCACTTTCATGCTGACGTCTATCCCAGTGACCTCGCAAACATCATTTCCACCCGCCATCGTAACCACTCTATTAACGTTGCCCGCGCTGCGTAAGCTTTACTTCAGTATCGACATCGACGCAGATGGGAGGAACCAACTGCCCTGGGTGATCTCGTTACTCTCTTCACTCGTCTCGTCACCTCCAAGCAAGACTCTCGAGAGCATCACCCTGACGGTGACCCACCACCTTGCCATCTTCGCACGTGCATACTGGCGTGATTTGGACGCGCTCTTCTCGTCACCTACCTCGCACTTCTCCTCGGTGAGAGAAGTCGTAGTACGGATGGTAATCCCTTTTCCTGAAGTCTCCGCTGGAGTGGCGATGGTATCAAACGTGGCTGGAAAAGTAAGGAGCTGCTTGCCTGTACTTGAGGGAATGGGTATCTTGAGAGCGCAGCTGATCATGGAAGGAGATGTTTGAATTACTGCTAACATACGAGAATGCATTACAAATTTATTATATTTATCTTCATTCATAACGGCCGCCTGGCGAAATGGCATCGCGTCTGACTACGATCATGTCGAAATCAGGAGATTGCAGGTTCGACCCCTGCGGTGGTCATACTAGTTCGTGTACGGTTTTTATTATACTGTGCCTCAGACCGATACACCTATCCAGGACGACAGGTGCTGCAAGTATTTTGGATTCACCAATTATGATCCTCAATATGCCATACTGTAAAGTATAATAACGCCGATGCGCTCTCTGAATCGAAGTTTAATTTCCACGAGTCACAGCGTGTACAAGCTACACGTAATGATACTACTGTTCAAATAGTTCACGGTTTAAAATCTACTTACAGCTACTCTGAGAAGTTTTATTGGGTTCAATTTCTGCTATCATTGATCCGAACTGTAAAGAATATAACAGTCGAAGCGATCACGCATGATATTCGGAGTGCCACCCAAGGGGAGATATTCCTCCGAATTCGATTCCTACGAGCATTACTTCTCTCTCTTTCTTCGATTGAGCCATAGGATTGAGAGGGACTCAATGAATCATCTATACAGTAGTTTACGTCAGCTATCTGATGCAATGCACAACTCAAACTTACCACGCGTCCAGTTGATCCAACTCTGCTTGAGCGAGCGAAGACAGCTGGTGATTCCATGCAAAATGGCCTTTGGTCCGGCGTACAATATATAGTATAGAATAGTAAATGGATACTTGGGGAATAAAGCCCAGAGAAGAAGAGCTGCTGATGTCCAATAGGGATGCAGTATAACTAAAGATTACGTGGCAAGTCAGTGGAAGTCCTATATTATTCTGAAGCAAAGTGAATAGCGCTGAACTTGTATAATGATACAAAGCAAAAAAACTTTGTTTCAGCCCTTCACGAGTAGGAAGAGCGACGCATATTTGTTTTTCGCTATTAGCATTCATCGTCACAAGCTGGAGATGACGATATGTATGGTGGTGGTAAGAGAAGTTGAGATACAGTCTCACTGGGCCGTGTAGTACACGCTTTAGCAGGCGTGCGGCATTTTCCGCCTCCCTGGCAGGCCGAGTCATCAATGTCTGAATCTGGACTTGCTTAAGTTTTAATGTGTCTCTCCTCTGATTGCAATGAGAAGGCTCAACATTTTCGTGCTTTCAAATGGGACGCAGACTTGCCAACTTTAACAGAAAGCTCAACTAGCCGACCCAGTTCGGTCATAGAAAGCAAGGCTGATGCCAAGGGGCTTGCCCAGGGCTCTTCTTTTGTTACCTAGACCTCAACAGTTCAACTTCAATCGAGTACTTGTACCGATTATCTATTAAAACTATACCTGCTGCATAGTTTTTACATCCTCTACCTATGATGGATCTGCTAGAGCTGCCTGCCGAGTTCTGTCTCCGAAACCATAATGTCAGCTTCGTCTTGCTCGTGCAATGCTTCCTTTCGTTGGGTAACTCGCTCCGTGTATAGCTTTCATAAAAAGCGAGAAATTTGAAAAATACGCAGCGGCCATTGAAACTGTCAAACATATCGCTCTGCAGGTCTGCAATGTCAGGTCGAACAAATATGATTATCTTAGCGCTTCAGTCACAGCCGTGCTTAGAGTGGCAGTGCAAGGTGCGGCCCCGAATTCACCTCCAACCGCGACTCTATCTCAGGCTTGTCATGAGCGCAAAGCTGTGCTATGTAAATTGATCACTTATAGAGGACGGTAATAGCAACCCACAA